GATGCCTTTTTCTTTATCGAGTCTCTCTGAGCCATTCCTTGAGCCTGGGGCTATCTGATCCTTCTTGTTTGGTCCTCAGTATCACTGAGATCCCTCTTGTTTGGTCCTATCAATAATAAGACTACAGCAGAGATAACAATAACAGTAATATACACATTTCTGACTTGGAAAGACTCCTTGGATTTGATGAGCTCTTAATCTCCACCAAGAACACTGACATGCATGAAGCTTAAACACACTCAAGGCTAGTAGCTCTGCTTTATCGCCATCTCTACTGGTTAACACTAGTGATGGGCGATATATCGATTCTTTATCGATATAAACGATATTTTACGGAATCGATTTGAATCATTATCGAAATTTTTATGCAATTTTCATCGATCTATTGACCACGCCCATTTATTAAGGTTAAATAATTAATTTTAATAAGTAATTGCACTGTTGAACTGCAAGAAAGAAGCAACTGACCAGTTGTTAGCTCAGCCTACCCCAATCAGAAGAGAACCAAGCTCAAGAGCATGAAAATGATCTTCTCTCATGACAAGTACAGTTATATCTGTGCCAAAATCATTAGCCACACCCTTGACACACCCCCAAAATGAAGGTGTGGTTATCGTATCGTTAATAATCGATATTTCCTTTAAAAGTCTAATATCGATCGTTATCGAAAATTAAGAAAATTGGCCATATCGCCCATCACTAGTTAACACGCCTACTATAGGCAGGGTGAGGATCACGTGATGAGGTGAAGTCTTAGAAAATCGTAGCTACCATCACTTGAATAGCTACATCGATTAGCTACATAGATAAAAAACATCCATTATGAAATTGACGCATTAATGAGGCGATGCGCTTCGCGCATCGCCACACTACCTTTCCACATTTATATTATTGATGAGGAATTTTTGTCCAGGATGGCGTTCCATAATCATCCAGCGGTGCTCCAATGGCGGTTAGACCATTGAATACCTCTGTCATCTCTTTGACATGATCCTGTACCGACTTTTCAGCTTCTAGATGTAGCGTATGAAGTTTCCGACGGAGTATGAGCTTATTTATCCAGTTCTTCTTTTGAAACTGGTCTTCGAGCTTTCTCCAGACCTCGACAGGATCCTTCGGCTCTCCTAACAGATACAGCAACGATGTATCAATTGACAGTACAATCATAGATACTGTCATAGGCGCCGGAACAGGGGGGGCAGAGGGGGCTAAAGCCCCCCCAGTCTTGAAACAGGAGGGGCTGAGCCCCCCCCAGAAATTCTCTGCAACTGACTAACAAAGAAAATAAAACTGACTTTTATCAGTAAAATTAGACCTGCAGTCATCATCTCTTCATTTTATTTAAAGAAAAAGACAAGAAAACTACTCTAAATCCAACAATAGAAGATTAGCACCATTTTTTGTAAAATTAGCAGCCATTTTGTATAAAACCACACCCATTTTAATAACTTAATTGATGTTCAGCCCCCCCAAAATAAATTTTGTTCCGCCGCCTATGGATACTGTATACATGGATAAGAAACATTCCAAACCGGATAAAGCAATCTGGGTTACTTCCGGTCACTTACCTAAACCACCCACGTGTAATTATGGCTACCATTTATTCTTCAGTAATAAACATGTAAAAGTGTTTGTATGGTAAAATTGATTCAATTAAATGACTCCAAGGGAAGCAAACATTTCTTACTAATGTATTAAGTACTTCTTTCAGGTAAATTAAAGCAAAAACAAAAGTTAAAGAATTACTTAGTGACTTAAAGCATAAAATTAAAAAATTGTAAAAAAAAACAAAACATTCTCCTGTCACAAGACCCATATTATACTACCTAGTTAGGTGTACTCTATCAGTCTGAAAGGACAAAACCTCCCAAACAAGATCATGTTGTGAGTGAATGTGTTTGAAAAAATGGTGCTCCAGTGAACAGTTTATTCCTGTTACAACAAGAAACTGGACATTTTATAACGAGTTTTGTATATAAAACGATGCAGAATAACAAGATAAATTGAAAGAAAGTGACCAAACTGGAATAACAAGAACGGGTTTCCAATAAATGTGGAAAAACCTCATCAAAAGCACACAAATCCTTGAGTTATGCCACATAGCTTTCCGTATAAACTCCATAT